GGGGGGGGGGGGGGGGGGGGGGGGGGGCGAGCATGCGAGGGCATTTGCGCGATCCCCCGCCCCCCGGCCCCGATGCAAGTCAAGAGAGCCCACGTCCATCTGTTTTGATCCCCCCCGAGGTCTCATCAGCACCCCCCGAGAGCCGACCTCCCCAGCAGATCGACTCCCCGCCCCCCCAATCTTCGCTCCCCTCTTGTTGCCGCCTTTCTCCCATACCATGACCGCCTCCATTCACACCCCCGCTCCCACTGTCCAGGGCCCGCCCAAGGCCGTGTGCGTGTTCCTGGCCAGTGCGCAGGGTTACCTCCCCGGGCAGGCCAATGAGGCTGCCGCCAAGGTGGCCACCACCGACTCCACCGAGGCTGGCCGCGATTCCAGCGCCGGGTCCGTTTCTCCCTACGTCCTGCTGGCCCGCGAGGCCGGCGAGCGTCTGGCCAAGAACAACGTCGACATTGTGTACGGCGGCTCCCGGCTCGGCTGCATGGGCGCCCTGGCTGGCGGGTGTCTCGGCGCCGGTGGCCGTGTCATCGGTGTCATCCCCAAGTTCTTCGAGTCCATGGGCGTTGAGCCGGCTCCCACGTACGCATCCCTCTTGCCCCTTCCCTTTCCATGCCCCCCCCCCCCCCTTTCCCTCCGTACACCCGGCCGTCTGTTTTCTATGTGCCCGTCTTCTTGCTGACCTCCGCCATCCGGGCCTGCCGTCCTCCTGCTCGCTTCCCCTCCCCCCCCCCCCCCCCCCCTCCCCCCCCCCTGTCCCTGACAGCAACATTTCCGAGCTCCACATTGTCACCTCCATGCACGAGCGCAAGCAGATGATGACCAACCTGTCTGACGCTTTCCTCGTGCTGCCCGGCGGCCTCGGCACTCTGGATGAGCTGTTCGAGACCATCACCTGGCGCGCCCTCGGCGTTCACGCCAAGCCCATTGTCATCCTCAACTACGAGGGCTTCTACGACCACATCCTGGCCTACGTCAAGGCCGCTTCCGAGCGTGGCATGATCAAGGTCGCCGCCTGGGACGAGGGTGTCATCGTGGTCAACACCCTGGATGAGGCCATGGACGCCCTGATGTCCGGCCGTGGTCGTGGGACTCGTATTGTCCCGGCTGCCGCCGACTCCATCAAGCAGTAAGAGGACCAGCTTGCGTCTCCCCGGTGACGTCCTCGCGCCACGTCTCCTCCTCCCTGCCCCCCCCTCCTCTCCCTCTCTCTCTCTCCAGCTCGATGGAAGCGCCGGGAATGTCCCAGCTGTGCGGGGCGTTCTCCTTTTTCCTCTCCTTCGAGAGGGGGATACACCGCAGGCAGGAGAAGGAGACATTTGTTCAGGTCCCGCTGCCCCCTTTTGCCACCCGCTCCTCTGCAGCATACACTGTGCCTTGCCCCCTTCCCTGCTTCCCTTTCCGGGACGGGGGACGTCGTAGTGGTCTCCTTCTTCCCCCCCCTCTCTCTCTCTCTCCCCGTGGGGGAGATGCCCTGGCTCCCATCCCTGCCCAAAAATAGACTCCTTGTCCTTGTCAAATACCTGTTGCAATCGTCTGTGCAGACACACACACACACACACACACACACACATTCTCCGACACTCGTCAACAAGAGGGGCCGTGACTCGAATGGGGTTCTATTGCTTAGGAGTCATACTTCTTGGCCACCATGCCAGTGGGAGGGGTGACCGGCACGCGCTTCGAGCCGACCTCGCCCCAGTTCGTGGACAACGCAGTGCCATTCGACTCGACCTGGGATGTGACAGTTGTGGTTAGCTCACCCTGGCTCTTCCGTGTCAAGGCACCGGACGTGTATAGGGGTCGCGAACGTACGTAGGATTTCATCATGGCGCGACGGGTGTCCGGGTCGGCCTTGGAGTAAATGTCCTGGAAGAGCTGAGCGCACATGGGGGAAAAGGTAAGTTCAAATGCATGTACTCGCTTCTCAGTGCAGAGGCAAGACCCATGAGGGGGTCTCTGGACATCGGACGAACCTTGTTCAGGGCCTGGTCGCCGGAGGGGGTGAAGTTCTTCTCCTCCTCCTCAATCTCGCGCTCGAGACGGCTCCAATCCGTGGGCTGGCGCAGGCGCGGAGCCGGGGGCTCAGCAGGCGCGGCCACCGCCGCCACCGACGGGGCTCCCTGCTCGGGATCCGTGCCCTCAAGCTCGGCCCAGCGCAGCCCGGCAAGGGCCTTGGCGAGCTTCAGCTCGATCTTGGTGGAGAAAACCGCGAAGGTCGACTCAGCAGGCTTGATGGCCTGGAAGAGGGACCCGAACTCATAGGACAGCGTGCTGCCGGAGTTGAGCTCCGACGAAATGGACACCTTCGGAATGGCACCCGGAAGGACAAGAGTGGGGAAGACCAACAAAGGGGACCGTGGGTCAGTTTGAACGGCAGGCAAGGTAAGGCCCGTCGAAGAGAGAGAGAGGGCGAGAGCGAGAAAGAGGGCGAGAGCGAGAGAGAAGGCGAGAGCGAGAGAGA